GTAGCTGGGAGTGCAGGTGTGCACCACCACACCAGCTAATTTTTGTATTTTTAGTAGAGACGGGGTTTCACCATGTTGGCCAGGCTGGTCTCGAACTTCTGACCTCAAGTAATATGCCCGCCTTGGCCTCCCAAAGTGCTGGGATTACAGGTGTGAGCCGCTGCACCTGGCCTGAGATAGATTCTTAGAGAATTATTGGATCAAGTGGCAAGGACCCATTAGAGAATTTTGACAGCTGGTGTGGCTTTGGTGTTGAAAGCCTGCCATTCCCTTTGCATGCCAGGGGGCATGGTTGCAATAGAAAGATAAGATTCAGGGAGTCTGCAGCCTGCTTTGGAAGATGAAATTTAAATACCAGAAGCAGAGAATAGAAAATGAGGCTTCAGTGAGAGGGTAGTCACTGAGTAGATGATTAGCGCACTAAATCAGAGAGAGGTGCTGTCCACATGGGTTCCAGGAGCTGGGAAGCTTCTAGGAGTTAGGGAACAGTTGGATCTTAAAGGATGAGTGGATTCTTCAAGCCGGGTGGGAAGGGGATTCCAGGTGGGTGAATGAAGGGAAGCCTGAACTGGAGCAGGGGTGCACACTTGCATGCTGGGTGGCCATCCTGTGGGAAGGCCTGCCCTGGGCAGAGGGCCTGGCACCCAGCACCTCCTTGAGTGTGTGAGTCTGTGGTCTCTGTGTGGCTCAGCCAGCCTCGTGTCTTCCTCTAGGATGCCCTAAGTGAGACCAGGGAATCAGAGACAAAGCTGAAGGAGTTCCCAGGAGTGTGCAATGAGACCATGATGGCCCTCTGGGAAGAGTGTAAGCCCTGCCTGAAACAGACCTGCATGAAGTTCTACGCACGCGTCTGCAGAAGTGGCTCGGGCCTGGTTGGCCGCCAGGTGAAAAGAGACACATCAGTGGCCAAGGCTGAGTGGGGAAGGACGGGAGCCTAGTGAAATATGCTTCATTCCACATGCCAGATGCAATTGATTAGTATTGGCTGGCTGCATTGGGGCCCAGAGTGTCATGCTCCATTGGTGATGTCTGGCATGAGTAGTGAGAGTGGAGTCATCAAAAGGATGTAGGCCAGGTATCTACCTTCTCTTAGAAAACTCACGCAGCAGTGCTTAGCTGGATGACATAACCACTTTGGGGGATGGCAGAGCCCTGTGTCCACTTATGTGGAAGGATTTAAGAATTTTTTTTTTTTTTTTTTTGAGACAGGGTCTCACTCTGTCACCCAGGCTGGGGTGCAGTGGTGTGATCATGTTTCACTGCAGCTTTGACCTCCTGGGTTCAGGTGATCCTCCCACCTCAGCCTCCTAAGTAGCTGGGACCAGAGGCACGCACCACCATACCCAGCTAAGTTTTGTATTTTTTTTGTAAACATGGGGTTTGGCCAAGTTGCCCCGGCTGGTCTCAAACTCCTAAGCTCAAGTAATCCTCCTACCTCAGCCTCCCAAATTGTTGGGATTACAGATGTGTGCCACTGTGCCCAGCCAATGTAAGATTTTTTTAGTGTATTAGTATTGCTCCTGTCCCCTGCTGCAGGGCTTTTTTGATTGGGACTCAGTGAATTGCTCCAGTCCCTGAAGTCACATCAGTTGGCCCTTAGCTGAGCAGGGGGTGGATATCATTGGTGGCCAAAGATGACCATGGATGAACCTGAAATGTTGGGCCTTGTGACTCTTATGGCCTCCCAGGTGTCTCAAAACTGTCCCCCATGGAGGGAGGTAAAAGGAAAGGGCGTGGACCTGACAGTTGGGGTGCTGGGGGCTGGTCCCGCTGGGCTGTTGGTCACTTGCTGTGTGACTGTTACAGCCATGGGCAGGGCCTGGCCTGGCTCCCCGGGGAGTGGGAGGCCAGAAGGCCATGGCCTTGGTGAGCTTCTCCTAATTGTGCCCGTGCTGGCTGTCCCAGCTCGAGGAGTTCCTGAACCAGAGCTCACCCTTCTACTTCTGGATAAACGGCGACCGCATCGACTCCCTGCTGGAGGACGACCGGCAGCAGACACACATGATGGATGTCATGCAGGACCGCTTCAGCCGCGCATCCAGCATCATGGACGAGCTCTTCCAGGACAGGTTCTTCGCCCGGGAGCCCCAGGACTCCTACCACTTCCTGCCCTTCAGCCTGCCCCACCGGAGGCCTCACTTCTTCTTTCCCAAGTCCCGCATCGTTCGCAGCTTGATGCCCTTTTCTCCCTATGAGCCCCTGAACTTCCACGCCATGTTCCAGCCCTTCCTTGAGATGATACATGAGGCTCAGCAGGCCATGGACATCCACTTCCACAGCCCGGCCTTCCAGCACCCGCCCACGGAATTCATACGAGGTGAGAAGGGGTGGAAGCTCACGGCCTTTTGAGCAACCCATTAGATGCTGAGAACCATGCCGAGGGCTCAGTGGGTGTCATCTCGATTTTTCCCCAGCAATATCACAAGGGTGATATTATCCTTATTTAAAGAGGAAAAAAACTGAGCTGGGCGTGGTGGCTCATGTCTGTGATGCCAGCACTTTGGGAGGCCAAGGCGGGAGGATCATTTGAGGCCAGGAATTTGAGACCAGCCTGGCCAAGACAGTGAGATCCTGTCTCTACAAAAATAAAAACTTAAAAAAATTAACCGGGTGTGGTGGTGCACACCTGTAGTCCCAGCTACTTGGGAGGCTGGGGCAAGACAGTCACCTGAGCCTAGAAGTTGGAGGCTGCAGTGATCTATGATTGCACCATTGCACTCTAGCCTGGGCAACAGAGTGAGACCCTGTCTCTAAAATAAAAAATAAATAAAAATAACAATAGGAATCAGTGGGTTCCATCTCTGCATGGCTGGATGACTGACTCTTCTTCCCTCGTGTGTCCCCAGAAGGCGACGACGACCGGACTGTGTGCCGGGAGATCCGCCACAACTCCACGGGCTGCCTGCGGATGAAGGACCAGTGTGACAAGTGCCGGGAGATCTTGTCTGTGGGTGAGTCGGGGTCCAGACCACAAGCCGCCCCTTCTTATACCTTTTGTCCTGGGGTCACTGGGGCCTCACTGGTACTGCCTTTATGGTGTCAGACAGATAAGCGTTTGGATTCCAGCTCTGCCGCCTTTGAGCTGTGACCTGGGGCAGGTCCTGAGCTTCACGCAGCTTGGGTTCCTCATCTTAGAATGACAGGATGATGCGAGGCTGTCCCTGAAGTCGGTGAGACGTCGATAGAGATGTAAAAGTGCCCTCCACCCCATGGGGCCGGGTTGAAAAAAGCTTGTTGAAAAAAGTCATCCCCCTGGGACTCCCCAGTGATTCTGTTCCCAAGTGCCAAGCGTTGTAGGCATCTTCATTTTCCTCTGCAGATTATGAAATTGCAGACAGTATGTGTTTTGTTTAACAAAACTGACCAGAGGCCAGGCACTGTTCTAAACACTCGACATACATTTCCTCAGAATGACCCTCTGAGGAAACTGAGCCGTAAAAGGGTTAATAACTTATCCAAGATTGACCCCAACATGGGTGAGCTGGGCTTCAATCCTAGGGCGCTGTGTTCTCTCCCAGGGCCCCACGCAGCCTCTGGCCACAGAAGTCACAGATCTCAGTACCTGGGAATCCAAGCAACAGTCCCTTTGGTTGGCTGGTTGGTCCCCTAGGCAGAGGGAATATTTCCCTTCAACTGTCTCCCTCCGTTTCACCAGCTCTCGTTATGGGTTAACTTCTTTCCACTTAGAGATAACAGCTGTGACAGTGTTCGGACTAGTTCCTGGTACACAGCAGTTCATACTCAGAAAGAGTTAATTGTTTCCCCTTGTAAACAGCTTATCGATCTGGTGGCTTTGCTCTTACTTAATGCTTAGTTTGAGTTTCCCATGGCAGGCCGCCAGGGTCTAGTTAAACATTCCTAGCCTCACTCCTGTAATTTTAGAAGCCACTGCAAAATAAATAGTCGTGCTTTAAGAGGCTGAAGTGTAAGTCGCTGCAGATGAGTGCACAACCAGGCCTTGGGGCTTTTTCTATAAAAATATCATAGAGTGGCATCAATTACATGGTACCTCACCACAAGAAAGCTAGTCACGTTAGGGCCTGAAGAAAAGATGTCCAGATGCCTGGGCCCAGGTTGGACCTCTTATGCTGATTTTTACTCTGTTGTTGCAGGCTGGGCTCAGGTCTGGCGCCAATCTTAATCGTCATTGATTACAGCTGAGAGTGCAGCTGGCGCCAGTCTTACCAGTCATTGATTATAGCTGGAGTACAGTGGTTCTATCTTGGTTCACTGCAACCTCTGCCTCCTGGGTTCAAGTGATTCTCCTGCCTCAGCCTCCCCCGTAGCTGGGAGTGCAGGTGTGCACCACCACACTTAGCTAATTTTTGTATTTTTAGTAGAGACAGGGTTTCACTATGTTGGCCAGGCTGGTCTTGAATTCCTGACCTCAAGTAATCTGCCCGCCTCAGCCTCCCAAAGTTCTGGGATTACAGGTGTGAGCCACCGTGCCTGGCCTGAGATAGATTCTTAGAGGATTATTGGTAAGAGTAATTCTGTAAGCTGAGCTAAATAGTCCACACTGAAGAGGACTGCCTACTGTTATTTAAGGTGCTTGCAACCATATAAGCATGTACTGCCTGGGACCTCTAGATCAGGATTTCTCAATTTCTGTGCTATTGATTTTTTTTTTTTTTTTTTTTTTTTTTGAGACAGGGTCTCTATCACCCAGTGGCTGCAGCCTGATCCACCTGCCTCAGCCTCCTGAGTAACAGACTACACGGGTGCGCCACCATGCTTGGCTAATTTTTTTATTTTTAGTAGAGATGGGGTCTTGCTATGTTGCCCAAGCTGGTCTCCAATTCCTGGGCTCAAGTGATCCTCCTACCTCGGCCTCCCAGAGTGCTGGGATTACAGGTGTGAGCAGTGCCGATATTTTGGGCCAGGTCATTCTTTGTCGTGGGGGGCTGTCCTGAGCAGTCACGGGTGTTTGGCAGCACTCCTGGCCTCTACCCACTAGAGGGCAAAAGCTCCCTTCCCTTCGTTGTGACAACTAACTTCAGAACTTGCTAAATCTCCCTGGGCGACAGCGTCACCCCAGTAGAGAACCTCTATTCTAGACTAATCCTCGGCTCTCAAGGATTTTTCTTATTTTATTTTATTTTATTTTTTTTTAAGACAGAGTCTCACTCTATCACCCAGGCTGGAATGCGGCAGCGCAGTCTTCACTCACTGCAACCTCTGCTTCCTGGGTTCAAGCGATTCTCCTGCCCCAGCCTCCTGTGTAGCTGGGATTACAGGTGTGCGCCACCATGCCTGGCTAATTTTTCTATTTTTAATAGAGACAGGGTTTCACCATATTGGCCAGGCTGGTCTCAAACTCGTGACCTCAAGTGATCAGCCTGCCTCAGCCTCCCAAAGTGCTGGGATTACAGGTGTGAGCCACCACGCCTGGCTGATTTTTTTTATTTTTAAATTATTTTTTGGTAAAATAGTGAAGATTATTTATTACATATTTATTTTCAACCTGGCATCTTGTTAGTAATTGTTTCTTTCCCCACCTAATATTTTATTTTACTATAAATAATTGCAGTCATCATCCTAAAGCATAGGCACAATCTCCCTTCCCCTAACTCACATCTGATGTACCTGCCTCTGGATATTTTTGAAATAACTTAGGGGGAGAAAAATAGTAGTTTTAAGAGCTAGTGGGCAGTTTCCAGCTCTTAATGAATCTGACAACCTGCAGCTCAGGGCCAAGAGGAATGAATTCTCTTTTCCCTGCCCTCTTGATGAACTCAGTGACCAACCATGGGCGGGCAGGTGGGCGGGCAAGGACCCCTGGCCACCAGGTGCCAGTGTGTCAGCTGCATGAACTCTTGGCACCGGAACTGCCACCTCTGCAGACATGCTCAAAAGACAAACTTGGACTGGGTGCATTGGCTCACGCCTGTAATCCCAGCACTTTGAGAGGCCGAGGTGGGCGGGTCCCCTGAGGTCAGGAGTTTGAGACCAGCCTAGCCAACATGGTGAAACCTCGTCTCTCCTAAAAATACAAAAAAATCACCCGGGGGTGGTGGCAGGCACCTGTAATCCCAGCTACTCTGGAGGCTGAGGCAGGAGAATTGCTTGAACCCGGGAGGCGGAGGTTGCAATGAGCCAGGTCATGCCATTGCACTCCAGCCTGGGCAACAAGAGTGAAACTCTGTCTCAAAAAAAAAAAAAAAAAAAAGACAAGCTTGGAGGATTGTCCAGAACCACAGACCCAGGGTAGGAAGAGCCCAGGCTTTGGAGCTGAAGACCCTGGTTCAATCCTGGGCCCAGAGATCATTTCTTCTATGGCTGTAGGTAAGCTACTTATTACTACTTCTGTGGGCCTCAGTTTCATTATTGGTCAAATAGGAGCGCTAATCCTTAAGTCAGAACAGATCCAATTCTTAGGGAAAAAGGATATCCAGAGAGAACTTTCTGTGGTGTCTGGGACACAGGTGGTACCACACAAATGGCAGCTGTGAGTAATATTCCTCCTCTTTGGAAATGATTCCTGGGAGGGACTAGGGCAGTGAGAGCCACTCCAGATCTGAGAACATGGAGAACTTGAGATCAGTGCTTTTGGAAGTGTGGTCAACACAGTTTGTCACCAAAGAGATAAGGGTCTGGCACCCAAAGATAAATCAATGATGTCATGAAGCACACTGTTTAGGTCCGTTGACATATTTTTCCAGAGCAAGGCTTCTCAGGCTGGGCATGGTGGCTCACACCTGTAATCCCAGCACTTTCGGCAGATTGGTTGAGCCCAGGAGTTTGAGACCAGCCTGGGAAACATAGAGAAACCCCATCTCTACAAAAAATGCAAAAATTAACTGGGCATGGTGGCGTGTGCCTGTAGCCCCAGCTACTCAGGAGGCTGAGGTTGGAGGATAGCCTGAGCCTGGGAAGTCGAGGCTGCAGTGAGCCAAGATCTCGCCACTGTACTCCAGCCTAGGCAACAGAGCAAAACTCTGTCTCAAAAAAAAAACAAAAACAAAAACAAAAAACCCAAAAGACTTTCTGGATGATGGAAGCAGCATCTAGATTCATAGTCTGAGGCAAAACCTTTATTTTATTGTGGACAATTCCAGTTTGTGGCCCTTCCCTTAGGGAAGCACTGCTTTTGTTCCCAGCTGCATGTCCTGACTTCCATTCATTCATGCTTCTATCCCTCTGTAGCCTTTCCTTCACACCTCTGCCTTTCATTTCTTCCATCTCTGGGCAGACTGTTCGGCCAACAACCCCGCCCAGGCTCAGCTGCGGCGGGAGCTCAATGAATCCCTCCAGGTCGCTGAGAAGTTGACCAGGAAATACAACGAACTGCTGCAGTCCTACCAGTGGAAGATGCTCAACACCTCCTCCTTGCTGGAGCAGCTGAACGAGCAGTTTAACTGGGTGTCCCGGCTGGCAAACCTCACGCAAGGCGAAGACCAGTACTATCTGCGGGTCACCACGGTGAGCTGTGTCCCAGCCACATGCTGTGGTTGGGGAGCCTGAGCTGTGATCGGGAGCAGGGGCACGTGTGCTTTTGACCAAGCATTTCTCACACGGCAGGAAATAGAAAACGTTAGGTGCCCTTGTTGCCTTGAAGCCTCATCACCCACTCAGGGAAAATATAACTCTATTTTACAGAGGAGCATATTAAGAGAGGTTCCACAGCTTGGCCAAGGTCCAAGGTGTGATAGCTGATGGGTGACTTGGGTGGGCATTCGAACCTGACTGCCTGACTGCCAAGCCTGTATTTTGTTGTTGTTGTTTTTGTTTTGGTGCACAGACCTATGAATAAACCAGAAGCCTCTGTTCTTTCCTCAAAGCTACATGGCTGCCCTCTGGCATGTAAAATGGCTTGTGAATTAGTACATCATTCTCTGCCAGTGATAAAAACTTCTCTCTCGGCCAGATATGGTGGCTCATGCCTGTAATCCCAGCACTTTGGGAGGCCGAGGCAAGAGGATTACTTGAGGCTAGGAATTTGAGACCAGTCTGGGCAACATAGCAAGATTCCCTCTCTACAAAAAATACAAAAATCAGCCAGGTGTGGTGGCACACACTTGTAGTCCCAGCTATTCAGGAGGCTGAGGTGGGAGGATTGCCTGAGCCCAGAGGTGGAGGCTGCAGTGAGCTGTGATCACACCATGGCACTCCAGCCTGGGTGAAGAGTGAGACTCTGTCTCTTAAAACAAACAAACAAACCAAAAGAAAAAACCAAAATAAAAGATAAAATAAATCAAATAAAAAAAAAAACTTATTTCTAGTACTGGACACCCTTCTTTTTCTTTTCTTTCTTCCCTCCAGGCCCCCTGGATTCCTTTTCTACTCTAGTCTGACCTACTCTAGAGTAGACATCTACTCTAGTGAATGGCTGCCCAGAGCAAATGTTTGGAAACCACTTTTATTCTTTGGGGTGCTCCCTGGGCTGGTCATTTGCAGATGGCATTTGCCCCAACACATGAGTGTCTGTGAACCAGGTCACTTGTCCACTGAGCTGTAGTGATGTCTAGATGCGTAAGAAGCACTGGGGTCAGCTCTCTAGGTTTTCTCAGAGGAGCAGGAGGACTTTCCTATCAGAAGCCTGACTTCTGTTGCAAAATGCACACATTTTGACCACAGTGTTTCAGCTCTTTTCTTTTGTTCAATTTAGGTGGCTTCCCACACTTCTGACTCAGATGTTCCTTCCGGTGTCACTGAGGTGGTCGTGAAGCTCTTTGACTCTGATCCCATCACTGTGACGGTCCCTGTAGAGGTCTCCAGGAAGAACCCTAAATTTATGGAGACTGTGGCGGAGAAAGCGCTGCAGGAATACCGCAAAAAGCAAAGGTGAGCAGGCGGGCCTTTCCTGCCAGCCTGCAGGGCCCAGTGAGTCTCTGACAGCCAAAAAAACAAAAACAAAAAACCAGACGAAGTGCAGACTCCGTAGCCTGGTGGGAATGACTCCACCTGGAGCCAGAGCCCAAGAACAAAGCCAGGAAGTTACTGGGAATTTTATTTTTCCTTTGGAGGATGTTTTATTTGGTGGATAACTCTTTTTTATTTCAGGGAGAAGTGAGATGTGAATGTTGCTTTTGGACCTACGGGGGCATCTGAGTCCAGCTCCCCCGAGATGAGCTGCAGCCCCCCAGAGAGAGCTCTGCATGTCACCAAGTGACCAGGCCCCAGCCTCCAGGCCCCCAACTTCGCCCAGCCACTCCCCGCTCTGGATCCTGCACTCTAACACTCGAATCTGCTGCTCATGGGAAGAACAGAACTGCTCCTGCATGCAACTAATTCAATAAAACTGTCTTGTGAGCTGAGTGCATGGAGGGTCCTCTTTTTATGTTGAGTTGCTGCTTCCCGGCATGCCTTCATTTTGCTACTGGGGGTGGGCGGTGGGGGGCGGGAGTGGAAAATAAGTAAAAACAAAAAAGCAGTGGCTAAGATGCTACAGGGACTGTCATACGGTGGAGAATAAAAGGGATATGATGACAAGGTTGATCCACTTCAAGAATTGCTTGCTTTCAGGAAGAGAGATGTGTTTCAACAAGCCGACTAAAATATATTCCTGAAAACTGAAGCTTTTCTGTTCTATTATAAAACTGTCGGCCGGGTGCGGTGGCTCAAGCCTGTAATCCCAGCACTTTGGGAGGCCGAGACGGGCGGATCATGAGGTCAGGAGATCGAGACCATCCTGGGTAATACGGTGAAACCCCATCTCTACTAAAAAATACAAAAAACTAGCTGGGCGAGGTGGCGGGCGCCTGTAGTCCTAGCTACACGGGAGGCTGAGGCAGGAGAATGGCGTAAACCTGGGAGGCGGAGCTTGCAGTGAGCTCAGATCCAGCTACTGCACTCCAGCCCGGGTGACAGAGCAAGACTCCGTCTCAAAAAAAAAAAAAAAAAAAAAAACCAAAAAAAAAACTGTCGATGTATTCTGACCAAGGCGTGGCAATCTCCTAAAGGAATATGCTGAAAGTTAAGGCGAAGAAGCAGTAACAGTAAGGTATGCTTGGTATTATAATGCAAAATTGATGTTTTCCTTGTGAAAACATTTGGTGCCCAGAAGTCCAAATGACCAGTTTTATTTGTAAGAGCTGTTACTTCTGCAGCAGTTTTATTTGTAAGAGCTGTTGACTGCGAGTTGTAAGAGCTTAGCATCCCAGGGGCACCTTCTTGACTGGCATTTCCTGTCCACTGCCAGTTTATATGGTCTTCCTATCTTTCCCTGGACCGCAGGAGTTTCTCTGCTTTTAGTCTGAACCATAGCTGGGCTGCAGCACCCTACGCTGCCAGCAGGTGGCCATGAGGCCATGACTACTCATGGTACCAATCTCAGTCTTAAAGCTCAGGCTTTTCGTTCGTTAATGTTCTCTATAGAATTCTGGTCATCAGACGTACTGCAATGGAACAAAACTCATCTGTCTGCATCCCAGGTGTGTAGCAAAGTCCACATGTAAATTTATAGCTTAGAATATTCTTAAGTCACTGTCCCTTGTCTCTCTTTGAAGTTATAAACAACAAACTTAAAGCTTAGCTTATGTCCAAGGTAAGTATTTTAGTATGGCTGTCGAGGAAATTCAGAGTAAAGTCAGTGTGATTCACTTATTGATATACGTTAATTAGGATTATGGGGTCAGAAGTATTTGTTTAAGTGATCATAATTGTAAAGTATATGTCACATTAATGTCACACTGTTTCAAAAGTTACTTTCTCTCTTCCATTGTTATGTTACTAGACTCTGGCAGTCACTATATTCAGTGGGTTTTTTGGTTGCTGCTTTTTTTTTTTTTTTTTTTTTCCCGAGACGGAGTCTCACTCTGTTGCCCAGGTTGGAGTGCAGCATGCGATCTTGGCTCACTACAACCTCCAACTCCAAGGTTCAAGCAGTTCTCCTGCCTCAGCCTCCTGAGTAGCTGGGACTACAGGCACATAACACCACACCCAGCTAATTTTTGTATTTTTAGTAGAGACGGGGTTTCACCATGTTGGCCAGACTGGCCTCGATCTCCTGACCTCAAGTGATCCACCCGCCTCGGCCTCCCAAAGTGCTGGGATTATAGGCATCAGCCACCATGCCCAGCTTTTATATCCAGTATTTTGGATTTTTTTTGTTTGTTTGTTTTACACTCTTATATACTAGCACCCTGAAAGATCCTAGAGCTGGTTCTGAGGCTTCCTGAGACCCCTTCTCTGCACCTCCTCCCTCTGCACAGTGACCTGGGCTTGGGGGTCCTTAGATGTCTCTCCATCCCTGACAGAGGTTCCAACCTGAGGCACTGGGAAGACTGAGTCACGACATGACTTCACCAAGGTGTGGGGATGAGATGAGGCTCATTCTGGCTGGGGGACTGCAGACTCTGAGCCCTCAGTGTCTGGCTTCTAGGACTCTTGTGGCAAAGAGGGAGCAGGGCTTGATGTGCTGAGAAGAGAGGGATCTGACATCTGTCTGGAAAGGGAAGCAGCACCAACCCTGCTGAGCCCCTATGTTGACACTTGACTGTCATCTGCCAGAAAATCGTAGTAAGATACAATCTCGCATGGATACAAGGTGAAACGGCGCTGGACTTGTGCAGTGCACGGTGTGCACAACAGTAACAGTGGCCCTGGGCCAATTACTTCACGTAATTTCACTAGGTTCCCATAATTCTCTCCAAGGCAGGGGTTATTTTCCCCACATTACAAAGGCTTCCCAGAATAGCCTGCATCAGATAAGTGTCTTGTGGCTAGTAAGGCCAGAATGTGGGAGCGCCACCCCAAGCCTCTGTGGCCCACAGAGGCTGCTGAAGGGACTTCGGGGTTGCCCGTCCTTCACTGTGAAGTGGCCCCGAGTAGGAAAGGGGTGGGAGTCAGGAAGCCACCCAGGTGTGCAGAGCAGAGCTCTGGTGTAGAATCGGAGGCAGCCGAGTGGGAGGCAAAGCGCTTTGATGTGGAAATGCCTGACAGTCTCAAGCAAACTGCTTGTTCTGTTAACTGTGGAGTTACCTGAAAGTCATAGAGTCTGCTTGAGATGTTACCAGGTGATGGAACACTTTAGAGTGAATAAAAGGTTCACATTTGTGTCTTCAAATGAGCTAAGCCTCCACAATAAACCGGTTCCAGGAGTTGTTATCCACAATGAAACATGAGGCTGAGACATGACACATCACAGGGCGAGGTCACTGTGAGAGAGGCTGGGCTGTGGGAATAACAGGGACCACGTTTTTGCAGTTGTGCCACTGGTAAGTGCTGAAGCTAGTAATGAACCCAGGTCTGACTCTGAGGTCACAGGGCCTCATTAATAGGATAGTGGCAAACCCAGGAAGTATACAGTAGTTCTAGGGACAATGCAAAGGGTCTCCAGGGTTTATTATAGAACCAATGATTACTAAGTCAGCCGATGTGATAGCAACGAAGGCCAGGCCTAGGGGACACATTTACAAGGTTAATAATGAACGTTTTGTTTGCTCTTCTCCTACGCTGATCTGGTTAATCTGTAATCCCAGCTCCTTGGTCATAATCCTCCTAGATGACAGCATCTCTCAGTGCTGGCTGGGGCCACATCGCAGTGCGGACAGCTCCTCCTGCCCCGGCCCCCACCATGCCACGCTCAGGGCTAGCTCACTGGGGCTCCAACAGCTGCCACTAGCTAGCTCTGGTCCAGCCCAAGGCAGGGTGGGGACCTCCTCAGGGTAGGACAGGGGACAAGGAGAGGTATAGCAATACTACCTGCCTGTCCTCATTTGTTGCCATCAACACCCAGAGGAACAAAGACCATGGCCTTGAACTGGTACCAGACATTCTCCCAGGACCCCACCTTCACCCCTAGTCCTACTCAGGGGCCCAATACTATAAAGACTAGCCCCCATTCTTCAGGTTAATCATGAGGAGGGGGTGGCAGGGGGACACTTACTCCAGCCTCACATTCATAAGAAGACACTGACATATTTACAAATGACTTCATGAGTATGAAACCACAGAGATGCAGTGACACCGTCAAAGGAAGGTGTTTGTTTTCCACATTGAAACCTGTGCCCTTCACCAGCCCACATGCTTACAGAACACGAGGTATTTTTGTTTGTTTGTTTTTAAATAGAGATGAGTTCTTGCCCTGTTGTCCAGGCTGGAGTGCTGTGGTGGAATCATAGCTCACTGCAGCCTCCAACTCCTGAGCTCAAGTGATCCTCCTGCCTCGGCCTCCCTAGTAGCTGGGACTACAGGTGCACACCACCACACCTGGTGGTATTGGTTTTTAAAACTGTAATTGCAATTACCTCGAGCACAGCACAAAATCATCTCACTCTGTGTGCATCAGAAATTTTCAACCGAAATGTCAGTAAGTCTATTTTAGAATTTTCTGGAAATGTCTGGACTTCTCTTAATCTCTGAAAAGCCCTGCCACATGGGGAAGAAAACCAGGGTGGAAACTAAGATACACCACCAGGCTCAGATATTTATTGTGTCTTTGCTGAGATACTGCCTTGAAGTTCTTCCTTTTTACTGACTCAAGGCCCCCTCCCTGGACTTTGGGGTGAGGGTACTCAGCTATTCTTATGTCTTCCTTTCTTCCATTTTGGGAATAGCTCCCAACTTTGGCCTCATTCTAATAACCGCAGACCTGGCTGGGCACGGGGGCTCATGACTGTAATCCCAGCACTTTGGGAAGCTGAGGCGGGTGGATCACTTGAAGTCAGGAATTCGAGACTAACCTGACCAACATGGTGAAACCCCGTCTGTACTAAAAATACAAAAATTAACTGAGCATGGTGGCGGGAGCCTGTGATCCTGGCTGCTTGGGAGGCTGAGGTAGGAAAATCTCTTGAATCCGGGAGGCGGAGGTTGCAGCGAGCTGAGATCGCGCCATTGCACTCCAGCCTGGGCGACAGAGCCATACTTGGTCTCAAAAAACTAAACTAAACTAAATAAAATAGTAACCGCAGACCTAAGGATAAGACCTTTCTCGCAGGGGACTCGGAGACATCCCTTCCAGTTTGAAACCAACTGTCCTGTAGCGAACTCTTCCTTTTCGGCAACTCCTCTGGTGCCTGCCTGGGGGTCCGCTCCCATCTCTGTGCCATTCCTCAATCACTTTAGCGTGGGGCTAGCAGGCTGTGCAGGGTTGAGGTCGGAGGCCGGGGCTTGGTGTCCTCCTGTGTGCCTCGCCTGGGTTCAGACAGCTGCCACCAGGGGCCACCTGAATCCCCCCGGGCAGGGGCCAACAGGATGCTACCCCTGTGAAGGCCCAGAGTGAGATTCCTTCAGCTGAGCGGTGACCCTAGGAATGGGGGCTTCACTGGCCCCTCTCCCCCGTCAGCCCGACCTACCCGCCTTCCTTAGGTCA